GACTCGAGGAGTGAGAAATGATGAAGAACGTGTCCTCTTCATCAGGGTCCTCCCTCGCTCTGGTGTTTGAAGTCTGCCATGTGATGAGCTGCCGTCTGAGCCTCGGGCTGCTTTGATGTGTCCCTCTGCAGCGACTTTGCGTCTCCAGTCTGTCACTGAGAGCTGAAAGAAGCAACTTGACAGAAATATGAGAGGAAACAGGACGAATCTGTTCAGAGAAAGACTCCTGATCGTGATGTGATCGATACATGCTTCAGATTAATCTGACACAGAGAAAACGTCTGGTTCTTGGGATGGTTATTTACCAAGATTTCAGGTTCATTTTAAGACCAACTCAGAACTCCTCCAGACCCTGATCTGAGCTCAGCGTGAGACAGCTTGGTCTGTGGAGAACCCTGCGCAGGAGAACGGAGGTAAAACATGAACAGCCTGCCCCTGCCAGCCCACAGTCTGCTGGTAAATGTCACATAGGGGGCGCTATTTCCACTCCTTCAGCCTGCACGTGGCTTTGCAACAAGGTGACATATACCAGTTTATAAACTGATAGGCCAGTAAAACCAGAGTGATGATAAACAAGATATACGCGTGTTCTTCCTCAATAGTTTCGTCACGTCTGTCTAAGGACAGCAGCGACGCTCTCTGCTTATGAGCAAAAACAACAACACAGCTCCTAAAACAGTGGAAGTTTCAGGAGTTTTGAGATGTGAGAGATTTGTGACGTTCAGCGTGTTTGGAGTGTGTAGTTAATGTGTTGTGTAGTTAGTGTGTAGTGTTGTGGATAGTGTTGTGTTGTGTGTCAGAACAATGAGGCGACTGCTGTCTCCAGGTAGAAACAGGAGTGACACACCTGCTGCTGTCAGACCTGCAGGTATCAGGCTGTGATGTTTCCTTTATAGTGGACACAAATATTTGCAGTGGCACAAATAATTTGTGGCATCTTATTGAAGAACAGCTGATTGTTGTGTAAACAGTTTGAAATGGTTAATTCATCAGAGATCAGTTGTGTTACTACAGTAGTCAAAATGAAAGCATGACTGCAGATTCAGACACGTGAGGTTGTGCTGATGAGACCAAACAAGACAAAGTAAATCGTTTTTAAAGGTGAAATGTGGAGGAAACATCAGAAGTAGTTAAAAATGGCCGATTACACCCTGGACCCCAGAGGGTTAAAATGTTTTTTAAAGTAACGCAATAGTTACTTTTCAAGTAATTAATTACTTTTAGAATATTGTAACTCAGTTACTAACTCAGTTACTTTTTTGAAGAAGTAACTAGTATCTATAATTAATTACTTGTTCAAAGTAACTTGGCCAACACTGCTGATTTCTGATTAGCTGGCATAGTCCAACGTCAGCGTCACTGCCTGCAGAGCTCAGACTGGGCTGTGTGGGACTTCAGCAGAAGGTTTCAGGATTTCTACAAAGTTCGTTAAAGCCAGCGTGTGCTGCTGAGCTTCTTCAGAGTCATCTCAGGCCATTAAACAGTGGTTGACACAGAATGACTGCTGACAGCTGTAATTACGCCTTCACTCAGGATTAAATTGCAGAGTAACACGTTCATGCTGTGTTTGGAGATCGCCCCATCAGTCGCCTTTCCTGCTCTAATCTTCAGATTATAGTGTGACAGAGGGCTGCTTACATTTAGCTTTAATTGGTTTTCGAGGAGAAGTGTCTGCAGAGGCTCACGATCCGTCCATCAGACCGCTCTGAAGTGGTGGAAACGCTTCCCGTCCATCATCCCCTGGGACAGCAGAGGATGGTTCCTCACTGCGATGACTCGCCGTCAGGGGACTTTAGGATTCACAGAGGTTTATCGTGGTACAGACAGCACAGAGGAGGCGGTGCTCCCAGCTCAGCAGTTTACAGCTGCAGGGTCACGGCGGACTCCTTAATCCACAGACAGTGTAGCTGCCGGGTCTGCAGTGGCTGAACAGACCCAACAGCTCATCCATCTAACGTCGCCCAGTCAGCAAACCATCAGCGAACCCGGATTGGCGGTGACGCTGAGGAGACCCAAACCCGTCTGCAAATCCCGCATGAGCAGAGCTCTTTATGTTGACGGCTGCCTCTGACAGAGAGGACAGAATGACTTCGGGGGCAGTCAGAGATAATGTATGGAGCAAGAGTTGGGGCAGAAATGAGTGTCCTCGAGAGAGGCGGTCATAAACGGCCCCACAGCTGACCCCTGACCTGCACGTGTGCTAATCAATAACTGAATACTACACGTCTACAGATAATCAGTGGAACATGAGGCACGTTGTTCCCTACAGAAGAGGAAACATTAATCCACACTTTAAATATTTCAAACATTAAACCTCAGAGTACACAGCAGAACCAGGTGACCTTGTGCAATGTTTATGTTTTATAACTTTCTCAGATTTAATGAATTATTTAGAGATTTTATTCAAACATTGATGAATTGACTCATTGATTTATACTTGAAAAGATTGTCGACTCTCATTTGACCCCTGCTACCAGCGGATTGATTAGCGGGTGTGTGCTTTCAGAGGGGCTCGAGGAGGTCTTTGTTATCCCCAAGGAGCGATTTATTGTACAGTTAGCAGAAGCAGCAAACAACCACCAAGTAAAATGTCATAAGTAGACAAAAACAAGCAGTGCTGAGGAGAAACCTCGGGTTTCATTTTCTTCACTTGGTGATGAAGAGTGAGATGTTCATCCTGGGACTTCTGCACTGCGACGGTGCTTTACTCCTTACAGGGATGCATCTGCATGCAATGCAGCAAAGCTAACATCTAACAGCAGGTTGTGTGAGTAAAGATCTGCAGAGGGCCGGCAGTTTGCCAGTGCTGCTTACTGTCTTTGTATGGTAGTCAGTCAGCTTTGTTGTTTCATTTTTTAAATATATTGTTTATATATATTTAAATTTTACAACAGGATTATTGTTCCTTAAGTATTTCGATACAACCATAAAACACTACAACCCAATGTTATTTGATTTTACTTTATTTCCTCTCAAACTGTTCAACAGCACTGAGGCTGCAGCTGAGAGAATGAACACTAAAGGTGTCTCTTGATGATTCATTTAATGAAATAATGATTGTAATCCATCAGATTGTCCTGTCTTAATGACAGAGGGCTGATATTGATCAGTCCGTTACCTCTGGCTGGCTTCTTCCCAGGTTTCAGTCTCACTTTTAGTAACGTGGAAGAATAATCTGATGTGCAGCGACTTTTCTTCTCACATGTCTGATTTCTCTGCAGCAGCTGTGCTTTCCTTCCTTTGTAACCTTTTCACATTTTTCATTCTTTTTATTCTTCTTTGGTAAATCAGCCGCTCGGCTGCAGGTACGAGCCCCTCACTTCACCTCTGCTTGAAACAAGCTGTTTTAGCTCCTCCCCTTTAAGTCAACATGTTGCTCATTGGTGGTCATGTTTTTGGTCTATGGCTGGAAACGCTATAGAGGGGAATCAAAAGGTGCGATCAGTTTGTTTTGATTGGAGATGTGTTGATCAGAGCGCCGTTGGCTGGGTTTTCATGCTCAAACACTGATTGGACGTTGCTACAGACGACATTTTTCAGAGTGAGACGCTCCATTTCATAAATGAGAGCCCCGCAGAGAGAGAGATGTTACTGCTCTGGGTCCTCATTACAAACCCCAGGGTGGCTTATCATTTTAAAAAACGGGACAGCGATCCTGGGAAGACGAGTTATTACTGGGGCATCGTTTAAAACCAGTTTCATTGCATTTTTACACCAACTACCAGTCTGACCAGTTAGAGGGTGCAGTGAAGACCATGTAACGTCTGAGTCACAACAATAAGATGGGTGCATTAGTCATGAACCACATGTGCATTACATTTGACTGTTTCCCTGCTGAGGACAGTAAATGGTCCTGACGTAGGCCTACCTGACCCCCCTCCGTGCTTCGTCGCAGGGCTGCTTCCACCAGGACATGAATCCGTTACAGCGAGCTCATCATCATCACTTTGTTTGTTTTGCCCGCTCGCTCACTCAGCTCGACAGCATCGTGGCCTCGTTCACCTGACCTGTGCTAAAACAAGCTTCTTATTGTGAAGCAGAATCACTGCTGAGGAGACGCCTTTCCACGGAAGCACCAAAGCACTGCCAACAACACCATGCTGGTTATTACGGAGGGCAGTCTTTAATGCTTTCCCTGCCTGGCTGGAGCTGCCCTGCAGCCTGAGACTCAAACACACCTGTAACACACATGGATGCACCTCAGCGCACAGATGTTCCAGCTGTGACCTGGAATGCTGGAAAAAAGGAACACTAGTTTTTTCACAACTCTTAAAGAATATTTTAAAATGTGGATAAAAAGCTTTGTATGCAGCAGCTGATTTATGAGCTGCAGAGCTTCATCAGGGCTGAGCCCACACTGCCATCTACAGGAACACGGCCGCACTGCACCCGGCAGAATGAAGCGCGTACCAAACTGAAACCTGTTGGTGACGTGTATCTGCAGGTTTGGGTTTGTTAAGGTTCAAAATATTGGGGATGGAGACAAGAGAAAAAACCACAATAACAACACTGGTCCGGCCGGGTTGAGTCAAACGATGATTTTAATGAACACACGCGTGGGAGATGGACACTGATGCAGACAGCCTCAAAATCTCAAAATGGTGGAGCATTGCTCAAACTTTTATAGCCTCTGGTGCCTCCACCTTATCATACAAAGCCTAAACATTCACATGCTTTCTCTCACACAGCGCCTGAGCTACGACCTTGGCTCCCTGTTTATCTGCTCCTGCTGAGATGGGGCAGAAAACTCCAGCACACTCTGTTCTCTTCTACTCAGACAAATTAGATTTCTTATAACTCAGCAGTATAATGCATCATAAAACAATATCATTCATTCACAACAAGTCAGCAATTTAATGTAATGCAAATCAGTTTAACTAATGCAATAGTTATCAGCTTCTTCTAATTCAGGAGAATAATGCAAACTAAAACTACATAATAATTCACAATCTTTAATTCGGGGTATAACATGGCATCAAATAATATTAGAATCTAACAGGTTTTATTTGTCATTCATTTTAATAACAAACTCCTGAAAAACGATTTTCAATTATTTGAAGCAGGTTGGCAGATTCAGAAGGAACCAGACACCTTTAAATCCCTCTTCTCCTCCTCCTTATCCTCTTCATCGCCTCGTAGCCTCTCAGCAGAGCAGCGAAGACGCCAGCGACCGCTACGCTGACGCCCATCTGTGACCAAAGCAGCAGCCAAACTTTGAATACAAAGAAGCATTAAATGAACGTGTTCCAAACCAAACGTACCGCAAGGAGAGCAAAGGGAAAGATCTTCCTCTGCTCCTCCTCCTCTTCGGTCTGGTTCTTCTCGCCTTCATCCCAAAGGGCCAGCGAGCTGTCGTAGTCCAGGCTGAGGACGCCGACGGGCAGAACCCGGATGCCCCAGTAAGCCCGTTTGACCCTGCGGTAGGCGGCGTCCTGCACGTCACAGCGGTACGTCCCTGAGGACGATGGGAGGAGTCAGTCTGATTCGAGTTTCACTCTCACAAATA